GCTAACTTTGCGCTATCTGGCTTATCTTGCCTTTGAAAGATTCTAATTTGAGCTTCGGAGCCCTTACGCCGGGTTCTCCCCGGAGCTTCTTCACCCCCTCCGTTTCAGGTCCCCTGTCACTCAGTTCAGAGGCAAGATCGTTGACAGCTAAGACCGGCCGGATTGTGCATCATTAGGTCCAAAAAAGCAGTGGAAGCCCATTCACAGATGTTTAAAAAGTCTCAATTTAGGAATTGGGGCCAAAAAAAGTAGTTGAAGCCCTTCAAAGAAATTACAAAAAAAACTTGGTTGCACACTTCGAAGAGTGCAAACACAAATATGTTCAGTGCAATCACTCTTCCCAAACAGAGTCTTAGGGATTCTGCATTACTGCAAACTGAGTTTTTTGTTTAAAAAGCTTATAAGCGTCTCTCCAAACGCTATGGTTTCTATTGAACACTCCGAGGGCATTTTAGACGCAAAAGCAAAATCATCTGAAGTGTCACCCCCATAACAAAGGTTTTTTTTTTATTTTATTTTTGGTAAAAAACAAAGTAATTTTAGGATACGAAGAAATGAACTCATTTTAGGATAAGTGGATGACACAATTTTGAGTGCAGTTGTGCATTTTAGGCTCCCTGAAGTTATTTGGATAATTTATCCCTCCTTTATTTCTTTTTTCTAATTTTTTTTGCTACAAGAGGCAGAAATCAAATCTTGCGCTCTTTATATTTTCACTTCTCTGGCAACATCTATGAATGGAACCCAAACTTAATTTTGAACTAAATTCAATGAATTGTTCATTTCCACCTAAATAATATATAGAAAAAGGGGAAAAGTGAAAAATGAACTTTTTCAGATGGTTGAACATATTAATACCAAGGTTCAAAGTATCGGAAATGTCAAGTATATCGGGAAAACAATTTTAAAAGACGAATCGAGATACGCCTTGGATATGTATGCATATCGGAGAAAAACTAAGATACGCATAGATACACTTGGAAACACTATAAATACTTTAATAAATCATAAAAATACATTAACAACACTAAATATAAAACCTCAATGAGTTGTATATACATTAAATTAATATATTTTAATAGTTTTATGAAGAAATATATTGTAGTTAATTATAATTTCATTAAAAATCATATGCTTAACTATATTTATAAATTATAATTCTTAAGTTTTAATGTTTTATGGAATGGGAAAAACCCAACTCTCCTGTCCAACCACAAAATATGCATTAGCACAACTTCTAAGTGAAAATATAATTGATAATAATTTATTATTTAAATAATAATTATTTATTTTCAAAAAATATAAAAATAAATAAATATTATATAATATATTCAAAAATAGTTATTAAACAAGAAATTTCAATTTCTTTGTGGATATGATAGATCATCCATAGAGTTATAATATATTCAATCATTGTGATCAAATGATATTATATAATTAATTAATTATTCTATAAATATAAAAAAAAATAATTATTAAAGAAGAAATTTCAATTGGTGTTTAGATATGATAGATCATCCATGGAATTATAATATATTCAATTGTTGTGATCAAATGATAAAATATAATTAATTATTCCTTATTTTTTAATTCTAAAAATATAAAAAATATAAAAAATTAAAAAAGAAATTTCAATTGCTCTATAGATATATGATAGATAAATCCATAGAAAAAAAAAAACATATTTAGTCTTTATAGGCAAAGAAAAAAATTACATTTTCAATTTTTTTGTTAATTTATACTTTCCTCAAATATTTTCATGAAATTTCCATAAATCTACCGATAGCACAAAAAAATTATAATTTGGAATGTAAGAAATGTAGATTAACATAAATTTATACATTCAAGAAAAAAATAAATTATAAGATTATAAAAAATTGCAAAAATTTACCAATTTTTACCATATTTTTTTCAAAATTTGAAAATTCTTTAAAAAATATTAATGATTCACACTTGTTTCTTGTAATTTTTTTTCAAATTTAGCACTCTATGAATGAGGTTTAGAGTTTTAGAATCATTTAGGGGGTGAAAGAAAGCTTATTTCAGGGAAAAGAAGCTTACTTTTTCCTTTATATTTTTTCAGTTTTTAACCGTATCTTTATATTTTTTCAGTTTTTAACCGTATCTTCTTTGTCGATATACTACCGATACACCCCGATACACCTGAAAAAAAAACGATACACACGATTTCTATACATATACTATATCTATTTTTAAAAGATACGATACAATATGCCCGTATCGTATCGAAATTTTAATACAGTCGAGTTCGAGTCCATTGAGAAATGTCATTCACATATCGAAAATAGCCAACTGCAATAATGACAGGAATATAACTTTTTGCACCAAATCCCCTTCTAATGGAGTAGCCCCTCCCCGTCATCTTCGATCAGGGAATGGAATCCGCTAACAAATCAGCCTGTCTTGATGGATGATAGATGACGCTTAACAGAGCACTAACACCAGGAACAGTTGATGGGTTTTCTATTATTTTTTAATTAACAGGAGGAGATCTGTAATATGCTGGTACGGTCACAGGGAAAAACATCTGCCTCACTCCTTCTGCCTTTATAATGGGGAAAATGATACCTGATGCACCCTGCAAAGGAGCAAAATTGATAATGGTAAGGATCAAACAATCTCAATTTGGTCCACCAAAGATCATGTTCATGAATAAAGGGAAAGAGACAAAAGAAAAAATGAGAAGCAGAGAACCATTTGTATTGATTATTATTTAAATTGAAGTCTAGCAGTTGCAATGTCTGTCCATGAAATAAACCAAATAATAGTTTTTTCTTTTTTTTCTCTTAACAACCAAGTGATAGTTTATGAGGAATGAATACATGAAGATCTGTCTATATTTTACATTCAAAGATGACATCATGACAATATCGAAAATAAATGGTATATAAGATAAATCCCAAAGTACTGGTGCAGGATTATCTAGCTATTGTCCAAACAACATTCAACCATGACTTGCCTATTGGAAATTTGAAAAGCCAATAATGACAAGTGCCAAATTTCAAGCATAAGAAATCAGTGGAAAGTTGTAACTCATGAGGCTACTATTCCGCAAAATGATCTAAAGAAAGTCCGAAATATTACAACAAGAAAAAGGAATACTAACCGAAAGCAATCTAGCTCCAATCCAGAGACGTTTTGGTGAAGGAAATGGAAATAATAAACGACCAATACCATATATAGCCACAGCAAAAAAATGGAGAACTAAGGTCAATGGACTAGGATTTAAACCAGAAAGTAGAGACACAGGTCCTGATGAGAAAACACCTCCAAGCCTTAAATAATCAAAACATGCTTGGCGCATTTCATTTCTTGCTTGATCAGGTGAAGCACAAAACACCTTGTATAGAGCACCTGCCAATGTATTTATGGTAGCTGCTACTGGCTGAGAATGGAATTATGAAACACAAGTTATATATCATATTGCAAACTAAATACCTATGTATTTACCAAAACAAAAACTAAATACCTCTGAAATGAAAGAATTCTATTCATGTTACAGAAGCAGAATGAAATACATTGATAAAAAAAAAAGCATAACGAAATACAACCATCCACTAGGACCTCCCACATGGCAACTTGTTTTGGGTCCCAAAAGGATAAAACAAGTTCTGTACTTCTATATTTGCTTTATTAATGGGGTAAATTTCAGGCCAAAAAACTGTCAGATATCTAGAATAAAACCTGATTCATGGGCATTTAGAAGTTTAGGCCAATCTAGAGGTTCCCCTCCGATGGACAGTCTGGATTGGCCACAGAATTCTTTCTTATAGCAGAAATAGATGGATTGTCTAGAATTTTAGATTAAATATGAAGGGTGAAAAATGGCCATATGCATGTTATGGGTATAACTAAAGGAGCGTATGGTTGAAAAATGGCCATATGCATCTTATTTGAAACTGGGGAATGTAGAATACGTGGTCTTAGGGGNATGTTATGGGTATAACTAAAGGAGCGTATGGTTGAAAAATGGCCATATGCATCTTATTTGAAACTGGGGAATGTAGAATACGTGGTCTTAGGGGTCAACTATGGGTTTTTGCCCTTTTGTTGTGCTGTAAGAGACGATAATCACTGTTGTTCCTTCTGAGATGTTGGATCATCACTTTAGGGGGTTGGAAGGCAAGATATTTGAGGAATGGTTCTTAAAGAGTTCTTATTTGGATGGAGTACAGTTGTTCTAGTATCTAGTTCTTTCCTCAACAATTACTTATCACGGTATCACCATCTCTTGCATTCTCATTTTGTTTCACTGAAATTTTTCTTAAATGAGGAAAAAAGACTTCCCAATTGACCCCATCATGGAACCTCTAATTTCTGTGGGCACGTAGGGAACTTGTATGTTTGTGGTTGACATTGATTGTATCCATGTGCTAGAAATTTATACTAAATAGTTCCAAAAAATATCAACCTAACATTTACCATGTTTAACATGATAAGCATTTTTCACCATTAAGATGTAGATCATGACAACTCTATCATCATTTTAACCCAAGATCTTTTGCTTCAATTAGAAATACCATTTCTGAAAATGTGTACCAAATGCCAGATGCTTATAAATACAGGTTACCTTGCGCAAAGTGTAGAATGACTCTAGATATCTGCATAATGCAGGTGCATCATTCAGATCACACAGAGGCCTAAGGAGATTCCGCAGGACAACAATATCAGACATTGCCACAGTCATCCCTCCACCAGTTAAAGGATGGCGCATATTAAATGCATCTCCCATCAATAGGGCCCCGGGAGTAGGATAAGGAGCAGCTGGCATGCTTCTGTTGGCCATGGTTCTTATGTTGCCTTTGTCAACTGCAGCTATAAAGGAATTATAAAGCTCAGGGGGGATCTGAAACAGACATGTTGCTAAGTTAGCCAAGGTGCTAGAAAAGTAGAAGGCAGTGGCAACAGAAACACTTCATGAAAAATATAGGAGAAACAAAACTATATTTTTTTACTGCTTAAAAATTCTGTGCACGCATGATTGGGTTAAACATGTATTTGTGAGCATGTAACACAGCTTAGATACCTGGGGAGCCACCACAGTCTTCAAATAGTTTGCCATTTCACCACTAGGAATAGAAGGAACTTTTTGCCCGGGTACATCAACCAAACAACGAATCTCTGTACTGCTGATGGGATAAAACAAGAGAGGTGAAGGATCTGCCAAGATAACATGTCCATGATTTGGAAATGGAAGTTGACAGTTCTCTAGGAGCAAACCAACAAAACAAGATGGGATATCAACCTGCAAAGAAGATAAAATAATAAACTTATCTTCGTGTGCAAACAATATGGGAAACACATGTATGCTGATAAAAATAATATGGGGAACATATATAATGTTTAAGTGATATACCAACTCAGAAAGAATTTACAACTTAATTGGTTAACCATTACTTACTGTTTTACATAACAAAAGTTATCCAATGATTTGATTAGAAAGGAAATTGTTAATGAATAGAAAGCAAGACTGAAATAAAACATTTACCTTTGGGTTGCAGAGAGTGCGGTGCAAATTGGAAAAACAACCATCGCATACAATTGTAAGAGGTGCATATGCATTTAGCTCTTCACCAATCTTAGTCTTGTATACCACCCCCTTAATGGCACCCTTTTCTTCAAGCAAGGATGTAACAGTTCCCTGCTCCAATCGCACACTAAAGACAAATTTTGAAAAAAAAAAATAATTAGTAAACAAGATAAAGCTTGTGCACATATTGTTAAGATTGAATTACCCATGCTTCCAAGATCCAAAAGCTTGTGAAACTGCAATCATGTATTACATGCTTTTTTTTTTACGAGTATGTCTTAGATACATTGTTAAGATTAGAGAGGCAGCAAAAATCACTTTCTTCTTTCTTTAATTACAACAGATCAAAAGTATATCATGTATCCAAAGTCTTTACCAATTGAAAATGCAGATTGTTACTACTTGTAGTAATACATGAATGGAAAGCAATGCAACATTTTGTTTATACCTAAAATCTTGTGAGTTTTAGATCAACATACCTGGATTTAGTTTATAATACAAAGAATTAAATCCTCAACTTTTATCTCAGAGAAGGTGCTTATGTTTTGGTTTACTCAGACATCCAAAACTCAACATTTTGTGAAACTTTGGATCATGCTACCTATACATATTGTTAAAATTACATACGCAGTATAGAGCACCTTCTTCACTTAGTAGGAACAAACTAAATTGCCAGATATCTATGATGGGGAAAGAGGTTTACTTGGGAAGAGATGCAGCTTTCTCCCGCAGCCGTTGTATGAAACGCCCATGATGAAAGCTCCTTCCAGATACATCTGCATGGAATTTTTCCAAGGGATATGACAGTCTAGTGCTCTTCCCATCCTTGAAAAGAGCATACCCAAATACACGTTGAGAATCAATCTCCTCCACACAGTCTGCAGTCCACATGCATGTACATAATTCAGAACCAGTGTCCAGCTAAAAAGGATGATAAGGACAAAGGGGTAAACAATTTGATGCCAACTAATTAATGACCAAAAACAATCTATTGTGAAAATGTATGGTTTTGCAGCAAAACTAGATCCATCTATCAACAGTAAGAAAATGATGCCTTTCATGCCCACCCTCAAGGCCCAACTCAATCAACTTCAGATAGCCCCCTGGCTGTAATAGTTCGCCAACTATCCTGTCAGGTTCCTTCAAGTCCCTCTCAATCAAATGCACTCGGCGCCCATCCTGCAATCAGTAAAAAATAAGGCTGCAGTTCAAGTCAACCAAGCACATGAAGAAGTTTATCAAATATACCTGAGTGCTAAGTTAAATAAGTTTTTATATAGACTCATGGTTAGAGCATACAAATAATTGTTTCTAGAAAACATGGCTAGAACTCCTCAGGACCTCAGCTAGTCAACCCTTTGGCTATTCCTTGCCATGAACCCTAAGCAAATAGAAAACATAGGTTTTCAGCTCCCAGGCAATTGTCTGATTTCAAAAGAAAATGGCCTTTGATACCATGGTGGGGTTTCCATTTCCGTTACCCAACCTCTCCCCGGTGGGTGCCTCCAGATTCCATTTCAAGTTTTCAACTCTGCCACAAATATTGAGAGGGTGGTTCTGACAACAAATAACCATTCCTTAGCGTGGGTGGTTCTGTCTTTTTCTAACAGGAAAAAAAAAAAAAAATCGTAACAAAGTGCTCCATTTCTGACAACAAAAACTTATTTCTTAACGCTTAATTCATGAAATTTTTAGCGGCACCTCCAAGCGTCGTAAGAGCCAAGAAGTATTAAAAAAATGTTCACACCTCCTGTAGAACAGCATTCTAGCGTATTCTAAAGCTTGTTAGTTTTTCAAAATTTGACATAAGAACGTTCCTTATATCGCTCACTAGAAGACTTGAGGGGGAAAATTCGCCTTGCCGCTAAATGGAATCAAAACTTACCAGCAAGCTGCTCTATTAGCATGCAATAAGATGAGCCTAACCCTTGTGTTTGGTGATACAGGAATCTAAAGTAAAACAGAAAGAGAGGAAAAAACATAAACAAACACAAACGAGCAAATAAATAAAGCGAAACAGCTTCAATTACTTTGTGCTCATACCAGTACAACGATCAATAGAAACTGATAAATCCTGTCAACAACCTCCAAAGTTGCAAACAGAACCTTGTTAATCGTTCAGTGCATGTTCCCTAAACCAAGTGAACTAAAAAGAGGACCCTAAAAAAATTAAAGGACACAGAGAATCACCATCTGAGACTTGTTGCAACTATATGGATTCGGCTACATGAATCCCGTTTCGCCACTCCGTTCTGTTGAGTGCCAGGCCCAGAGGAGACATAGCATATTACCAGAAATCTTAATTCCAGTAATTTCATTTACAAAAACGCATGAAATTAACAGAAATCCGAAGGAGAGTTCAAAGTTGATGAAAAGAAAAGAAAGGAACAAGAATTTTCAATTTCACCTTGCCAAGCGTATAAGCGAGAGCAGAACCAGCAACACCAGCTCCGACAATTATGACATCAGTATTGTCTTTGTTATCCGAACTGCATTCTCCATTAACGGGAGTCCTTATGCATTCGTTTCGGATCTCGGCGGAAGCTCTTATCTTCTCTTCATCCTCCTTCTTTTCTGCCTGCCAACGGTACAACAGAATATAACCTAAAAAGGAAGCAAGAACGCCTGCGAAGATATACTCGACGATCATCTTGTGAAGCCTGTGATCTCTCTCTCTCTCTCCCAGTCTCCTTGGCTCCTTCTCGATTCTCAGTCCCTCTCTGATTCTGTTTTTTTTTTGTTTTTGTTTCTGTGACGGTTTTTAAATTTTAATATAATATTCAAGGCCTACTGCAAACGCTGACGCGGATTTCGTCTTCATACAATCAGTGCTCACACCGTCCTCAAGCCTTATTTTTTAAAGGCGTACTCAAGCCTTTACAGCCGCTTATTGGGGACATCTCCGTATTTATATGAATTACTATCGGGGACCCGTGGGGAAAGATTTAATAATTTTATTTATTATTAATTAATATTAAATTAATAATCAAAATTTGTTATTAATTAAATAAAATTATTCAAAGTTATTATTAATATCTAAAATTTTAATGATTGTATTTTTATTTAATATTGATTTACAAAAAATAATAATTATTAATTTAATATGAATAAATATTTCTTAATAAGTTTAGCTTTATTAATAATTTTTATTATTTTTAAATGAAATTTTGATTAGTTTTAAATAAATACAAATAATTATAAAAACTGACATTTTTATTAATTTCACTAATAAATAACAATTATATAGGAATGACAATGGGGTGAGTTCAGGGCGGGGCACCTCATCCCTGCCCCTGCCCCATAGTGAAGACACTTTATGTCTCTACCCCATTCTTGCCCCGTCCCTAGTGTTAGGCGGGTTCAGGTCAAGGCACCCCACTCCTCATCAAGATGGGGAATCCTTGAATTTCTCCGCCTTGTCCCCAGTGTTAGGCAGGTTAAAGTCAAGGCACCCCACTCCTCATTAAGGATGAGGAATCCTTGAATTTTCCCGCCTCGTCCCCAATATTGGGCGGGTTCAAGTAAAGGTGTAAATCGGGTCGTGCAGGGCTGACATGACATGACTTGCATGCGGCCGGCATAAAGTGCGAGTTGTGCTGTTTTGGCCCATGGGGCGTCCTGGTTCGTGCCTCCCTCCCCTAGGATAATTTGGGGGTCCGTTCCATGCCTTGGGTAGGGCTGGTCCATGGGCCAAGCCAGGTCACAAATCGGGCCAAGCTATGAGAGGTTTGTTTAAAAAAAATGAAAAAGATGTTTAAATTTTTATTTTATATGATTTTTTATATATACAATTGTTTATATATAGAATTAAACCTATTCATGGGCCGGGTAGCCTGATAGCTTGGCCTGGTCTGACCAGTTATTTTTCAGGCTTGGACAAAATTTCAGGCCCATGGGCTCGAGCTCAGGCTTTCTCAAATAAGCTCGGCCTGGTACTATTACATATATAAAAAAATACTTATATATATATATATATGCTTCTTAAATTATTAATAAATATCAATTTAGTATTAGGAAATATATATTAGTTTATTAATTTATTAAATTAATATAATATTAGTTTATAAAAGTATACTAAAAATAAGACATTTTGTATACAGATTGGGCTTTGGGCTCGGGCAATCTAAGTCCGATGGTCGGGTCGGGCTCGGACTCAAGCTTGCACATTTTCTAATGATAAAGAGACCCGTATTAATTATAAAACTATGATTTTTTACAAATTAAAATTTTTATTTAATTCTAGTCTAGTATAAAAAAATATATAACATATATATATATATATATATATATATATATATATATATATATTAATATAAAATTTGTTAAGGATTGTTTAGCTTAGGCCCTATCTGCTAAAGCCATCATTGAACTCCAAAAGTTTGATACCATGGTGCAAAGTATTTATGGTTGATACTCCAAAAGGAGTATGCACCATGCCCACACTCCTCTGCACCATCCTCAAAGCACATCATAGTTGTGCATGGAGAGCAATTTCTTAGAAATAATAAAATACACGTACAAGAGATATTCCCATTGCATGGTTGAATGTGTTGTGAGGTTGGTGTGAGTAGGTCTGTTAATGGACCGGTTTTGGATTGGATCTCATCCAAACCAAAATCAATTTGGATGGATTGGACGGACCAATAAGACATATTGAATTGGACCAATCCAAACTTAATGGTGTAAAGTATTTATTGCATTAGATGGGACCTGATCCATAATATTTGTAATGAATTTATATTAGATTGGGTTGGATTGAGCCAATACCGATCCATCAATAGAAGATAAGAATATAAATGTCAATAAACTAAATTTGGGTTGAAATTAATCTAAATTAAAACAAATTTGAAAGGATTGGAGAGTCCAAACATTAAATTGGACTGGTCCAAAATGTTCATAGATTATACCTGGTCCATTGGTAATAGATTCACACTGGACTGGATTGGATTGGACCAAATCCAGTCCAATTGACACCCTTAGTGTGAGAAGATGAGAAAAAAATTCGGACTCGCCCATAAGATGCTACAGCCGCACATCTGGAATATATATGAACCAACCCATCAATGATAGCATACAATTACCAAACATATCCTAAATGTGTGGCTGTGGTGGCATACTTCAGTTCTTCAAAACCACCAAAAGATTTTACCGGCCAGCTAATTGGCACTTAGTCGGAAACTGGTAGTTCTGGTCACTCCAAATTTACTACCCACAAACTCTTACCATCTCCTTACCGGCCCACAAAATATTACATTACTATCGTGTATTGGAAACATATCGAATAGATGCAAACAAAACAACTATCTAATTAATTAGTTGTAAGGCAGACGTGGGATCAAAATGCGTGGTCATTAAAAGTTGGTCGGTAACTGTGTATGTATGGGCTAGCCTATCCCCTTGTTTAGTCCCATTGAAAAATAGAAATATAAGTTACGTGTTTCATTGAGGTGTAAATGTGAATCGACGTAAAACTCAACTGTTAGTTCGTATTTATATCTGTTTGTTTTTGGTGTAAAAGTAGATTGGTGTAAACTTTATACCCAGTCCAATTTTATAGTCGTTTATTTATCATGTAAAAGTTACATCTAAAATCGATGCAATTCTTTTTTTTTTATTGATTCTTACATTTTTAATTGATGTAAATGATATATTGATAAAATCGATGTACTTTTATATCTATTCTCACCTAAAAATTTCCAATGATTCAAACAATTTTAAATTGATGTACTTTTACACAAAGATTTTTCATCAACTGACTTTTACACGGTGGATTTTTTCACCGCATTCAAACACAGCCATAACAACAAAACAATAATTCAAACCATTAAGGAGAACGGATGGGTGGTGGCTATCTAGCTGAGTTGGCTTATTTGAGTCACTTCAAACCGGATTCAGATCTGCTCCCAACCAATCACTATAGTGACACATCAGGAACATCTCCCCATTAATGACAAGGGAGATATTTCCAACACTGTGGGTAGCATATCCCTATCCCTCTAAATTAAGCAGCGAAACCAGCTTAGCTGAACCTTTAGCTCACCCCTCCCATATGGGACCTTAGCTTTTAATATGTCTACCAGCCATGTGTGTGGTTTATGATGGAAATGCAAATACTTACAATTTGGGAAGACTGCAAATAAAATATGTACAATCCATACTTTTGCATATGGTATTTCTAGACCTTGTATTTGCACTCTTCCCAAACTAAACCTTATAAAGTTGCCCCCAAGTTCCACCTCAATGGACACTAACAAAAGATCCAAAGAAGTCAAATGGACCTTCTTACCCCTCCTAAAACCACCATTGTATTATTTAATTCTTAATCCTTGATTCCTCAAATCACTTATAGATTGCTTAAAAAATCGATTTAGAATTTTCCAACTTTACCATTTAATATAAATATGATGTTTTCATGTTTTTATATAGTATTTTATTCTTTTTATCATGCACAAATGTGTTTTCACACGGATGTTTGAGATGATGATGATAATGACAATTTATTCAAATAATAATAATTTCATTCTCCTTATTAGAACTCATGCAACAACAACAATTAATTAAGGCATGGTGGAGTGGTGGATTTGTTGCCCTTCACCTTGAACTCCTTTTTAACAAAAATTATTGACTCGGTCAGCAACTTGATAATCTAACCAATTGAACCATTGGCCCATAGACCCAACCAATGGGTCATGGGCATCAATTTTCTTTTTCATTATTTTTTTTTATATTTTTAGTCATCACTGTCATTAATAAAAACAATTCTCATTTATCATACATGTTATTCTTTAATATGATAAATATATAATAAGTCCCAATTCTTCCACAAATTTTATAAATTTATTTGCTGTGTTTTGTATTTTTATTATTTCATTTATAACATCACATTGACTCTAAATAGAACATATTGGCGAAATAGGATTCATGTAGCTGACCCCATAATTAGGATAAGGCATGAATGATGACGATGAATTTATTATGACATCATACATTGATTTATTTGGCCTAGATGATTGAATTGTTGACCTACCACTTAAAGGCAAATGCAGTTCTAAACTTCCAATCAATTTTTAAAACATTAGTTTTTCATCAATGTTCTTTAGCTTGGGTCAAATTGATTAACTGGATCAATTGATCTATTACCCAACCAATATTTTGGATCCATTTCACCACCAAATTGCTTGTCCATGAAAAACATGTTGACTTGGTTAACAACTTGGTAACACAATCAATAAAATTGTTTCATTGTTTGACTCGAGTGGTGAGGTCATAGGTTAGAAATTAATTCTCTCTCTCTCTCTCTTTGTATTTCATTTCCATTATTGGTAAAATGTAATTCTTATATATCACATTTAATTTGTTAACATGATGAATAAATTATATTAGAGAGGTGTAAAATTTTGTCTACAATTTATTTTATTTTATTTTGTATTTATAGCAAATTTTAAATTTCATTATTTGATTATAACGTCATGGATTGAACAATTTGACCCAAATGATTAAACTACCAGTCCATTACCCAAACAGAAATGATTTAATTTTTGGGTTGGTTTTAGAAACATTGATTTTCTACTATTTAAATTAATTATGGTGTATAGAATTAACTTGTGGAATTTAATGTTGAGAATGGGAACAAGGAGTTAATACCTTAAATTAAGGAATTAATGAATAGAAGAAAATGAACTAAGTAGTATCAATTCAAATTACATTTTCTACCCTCATAATATATATATAGGTAGATAGATAGATAGAG